ACAGGGGCTGCAGCCCACGCCGTCGCCGGCGACCCACGGCAGCCCAGCTCCAGGTTGAGCTGTTGCTCAGCATCCTAGCTGCAGAGGGCAGTGTCACTGGCCCTCATATGTGGGATCCGAACCGGGGCCCTCTGGCATCCCAAGCGAGTTCTTAACCATTGCGCCACTCGGCCGGCCCCCAAGCAGCATTCTGATGTACTGCAATTCACTCAGTGACTCCTCGCATAAGCCCTGTGCTGTTATCCCCCACTTTACAAATGAGGAAACTGAGGCACAGGGAGATTAAAGAACCTTCCTTATTCCAAAGCCGGCCCGAGTGGGTCCTAACCTGTCTCATGGTATAGATATGAAAATCACTAGTTCTGGGTGAGTGATATGGAATGAATCAGAATTTCATTGTATATAGAGCTGCCTTTTCTTGGTACCCTTTTGGAGGCAAACAAGAGAAATTTAGTGCTTAGAGTATGTTTGCAAGCGTATTTAAATGCTCCCACCACCAGGCAGAGCACTTTGTTTGGTTGATCTGCTGAAAAGCAAGCTATCCCTTTTGTGTAATTGGTGGGTGTGGGGGTAGTGGGGGTGCGCAGAATATGTATGTGTATTTGCGTAACTAAACCCTGAAAGAATACATACAAACTAACGAAGCAGTTTTTCAGATGGAGAGAGGAAAGGTGGAGGGAGGGACAGAGTGGAAGTAAAGAAGTAAGCCTTTTCCCTATATACTTTATTGCTTTATTTCTTGCACCATGGGAATGTAAACAGAAATTTTTAAAATTGTTTTTTAAAACAAAAGCAAGCTGCTCCTTAACTTGTCTTCCCTCTGTGGGTTCTCCCAAGGTCTCGCAGTAGCCAGCGCCCTGGTGGACATTTCTCAGCAGATGCCCATAGTGTACAAAGAGAAGTCAGGAGCCGTGAGAAACCGGAAGCAGCAGCCCCCTGCACAGCCTGGGACCTGCATTTGATGCTGGGGCCAGGGACTCTCCCTGAGCAAGGGAGGTGTGGTGTGACAGCCGTCCGCAGGGAGGGAGCAGGCAGGGAGAGCTGGCAGAGCGGATCGGGGCAGAAGACTGGAAACCCTCCGACTGGAAACATCCAACTGGAAACATCCGACTCATCTGCATGTTCACAAGCTTTCTTTGACGGTTTCTCCCATCTGTGCTCCAGCATCTAACCTTTTACTTTTGCATAGGAAATAATTGATTTAACTACAGGTACAGAAGTGATCCAGCTGTTGCTGGAGGAGGCCGGTGTGGAGCCAGTGAGAGAGCTAGGGATGTCACTCAGGTCACTTGTGGGAAACTGGTCTTGGGACTGTCTCAGCTGTGCAAAAAAAACAAAGATGTAGTGTTTACAAGTAGACATTTGTCATCAGCCGTTCTGGAACATGGTCTTTTAAAAATTAGATGAATGAACTTGTCTTCATCTGAAGCCTGCTATCTTTTTTAAAAGATGTGCTGTTTATTCTTGCACGGTTTAGGCAGATACCTCTCTCCCAGGGAGTAGCTTTTTTCTAGTTGAGAACTAATAATGGTCCATCTCTTTTGAATCATATCAAACTAAGATAGAAGGGGGCTATTTTAAATGTCAAGGTCAGCAGTGTTACTTAAAATGTAAACTGGTGTAATGGGTAGTTTTTTATAACAACTTGATTAATTTAGTCTTAATCCATTTGAAATTCCTCTCTCTCTCTCTCTCTCTCTCTCTCTCTCTCTCTCTCTCTCTCTCTCTCTTTCTGTCTTTCACACATACACACACACACACACACACACACACACACACACACACACACACTCACACACTCACACACTAAGTGCCTAGACTTTAAATAGATCTAGCAATTGGAAAGTTAGTAAGCCTAAGTTTTTACATAATTGCATTCCTACATTCTTATAAAATTTAAATAGCTACATTGGCACTCTGCTTCTTTTCTAAAATGTAATTTGCAGCCAGGAAAGAATTTCCCCCCCCAAGCAACCTTTTTAACCCAGCAGCAAGGACTGAGAAGAAAGCAGAAATGACCTAGCTGTAAAAGCTCCTGCTTGTATGGTTGTCAAAAAGGACACTAAACAGGCATGGCCCCATGTGCTTCTCTGCCCCTGCCCCCACCTCACTCTAGGCCTGATGCTCGCTTCAGCCCTCCTGGCCTCCTACTGCCAGGGCCCCACAGAGGAAGGGACTCACTCACGTGACATGTCTCCCTTGAGCAGAAAAGACCATGACAGACCTTGGGACCCCTGGATCAAAGAGCAAGTTTCTGTTTCTGTAGCCTGTTCTGAGTGTGGTTCAGCCTCAGGCTGCAGGTGGAATCACACACCGGGAGAGGGACAGTCTCCCGTTGTCGGCAGCACCTGCCCGAAGGCTGGAAAAGGACCTGGCTCTTCAGGCCTCCTCCCCAGACCCAGGTGGTGGCTGTGGGCAGACAGTGAACACTGTAAAGATGAAAGCACATGGAAAAAATGGGCAAGGAGGAACACTCTGCCAAGTGGAAAGTGACCAAATTTAAGTGGGGTGGGGCAGTCCCTACTTTTCTCCCCAGGGCACTGCCTGGGCGTCGTGTTGTCCCATCTGCGGTGCTCTGTGTTCTGGCTTATGCAGCAGCCTCCCAAGACCTCCCGTCTGCTTCAAAAGCTGGGGTTCTCGAGCAGTACCCTATCGGGATGGACCTCTAGACAACAATGCTCAACTTTGTGAATTTGGAGAAATTAATTCTCAAAAGAGCAAAACCTGCAGCGTTTCACCTGTAAATTTAGTGCCTAGAGAGGGAGTATCTATCATCTCTTCCCCAACACCAACCCCACTCCCATGAAGAATTGCCTGGGAAGATGTTTTCAAGGAAGTTGAACCATAAAACACAGCCTGGTGCACAAAACACCTCTACTTTGAGACTCAACTCTCAAAAAGCTGTTTTCACATCACTGTGAAAGAGCAGACGGTTCTGAAAAAAAGACCTTCCTCATGAGCTCCCATATCCCTACTCGAGATCACAGCACCCGCAGAGAGCTTGCCGCGGACTGGCCCTTCACCTCCAATTACCAGGAGGCATCTTGGCAAAGAGGAGGCCACTGGAGAAGGCCCTCCCGCAAGGGAAATCCTTGTTTGTTCAAAGGACCAGTGTTCCTTTGGCCAGGAAAGCCTCTTCCCGTGGTAGTCCCATGCCTTGAAATAACATGCTCCGTGTCCCATAGCCACCTGGTTCTTTTTCTTTTTTTTTTTTACTGAAAGATTTTATTTTTATTTTTATTTTTTTTAAGCTGAGCCATCCTGCCACCTGTTGGCAGCTCAGTGGCTGCTCAGCTCGGGCTGGCAATCGAACTGCTGTTGCTCAGAGCTCAAACTCTTGAGCGAGCTCTTAACCAACTGAGCCACTCAGCCGGCCCTAGATATTGTTTATTTTTAAAGAGGAAGGAAGGAGCAAGTGAAGTTGAATTCTGCTCCAACAGTGGAGAAACAGCCGAATCCATCTGCTGCTTTGCAGCCAACACAAACAGCTTCCTTCAGGCTCGGGCCCGAGGAGGGAGTGGCAGGAGAAAGAGGCCACTCAGCTTAGAGCCAGTTACCAAGAGGAACTTCAGAGAAATGTCTGCATGTCACGGGAGCCTGTATATAAATTAAAATAGCCCCGAAACATTGATATTGCACTTGTACATAACTATACAGTAGTGTTCAGAATGTTCAGGCATTCGGAGTGTACATAAAAAATATCTAAATGTATTTTTATTAAATGTAACGGTGTCTGAGTTTCACCTACTATGTTTTTGTGCCATAGACTGAATATTCAAGTTGAGAGAAGTCCTCTCGTTAGGCCCTGACACATTTGATAACAAAGCCAAGAAGGGCGTCCCCATCGTGCCAATGTGTTCAAATGCATCTGGTACCAGCTGGCTAACTTAAAACCCGAATCGTCTGATCAGTACACATATGAAAATTTGGCAATGAATCCATTTAAACTAGCATGTCGGGAGAGTCGGAGACAGCGGGAATCTCTCTGTTTCTGTTGGCTCTGCAAGTGCATCATGTATCTGCCTATCAGCCTCTTGGTCCTGTGGGTGACCAGGGACAACCAATCGCATCCTTTTGAAAAATGTTTCTCATAGTCTTTAAGTTCAAAGACTATAGCCGTAGAAATTCTAAAAAGGGGTTTTCCAGGCTGTGTTTTGTTGTGGGTTTTGTCTAAATTTTTAATGATCATTTCCCAGGACCATAGTTAACTCTATTGAAACGGGGGTGGGAGTGGGGTGGCTTGTTTGTTGATCAGTTAGCTCCTGTTTCCCCCTGGAGAACCGCACACAGCCTGGCCTCCTGTCCATATCCTGCCCCCTCCCTACACATAGTTTGGGGAGAAGTCTATGCTTCCTTCTGAGGATCACCTCCAAAAAGAGAGAATGCAACTCATACTCCCCTGAGCTAACATGGAGGAAACGCAGCCCTGGACAGAAGACTGGCAACAAAAGGAAAACATGGGAATATCTGTGGAGGAGGCCTGAGGTGCAAGATGAGAGAGGCTCCGGGACACCTGGGGCAAACGGAAAGACCACAGCACGAAGAGAAAAACATTTTACCGTTTGGTGCAAGTCTTGCTCCATCATCTTAATGGAATGTATTTGGGGAAGGGGTGGGTGTGAGTCACTTCCTTGGGTGGTGATGTCCTTGTCGTGAACACCTTTGGTCCTTCAGTTTTTCATTCATTCATCCATTCATTCGGTACTCACTAAGCACTTACTAACAACCCAAGCTAACACTAGGGTGGTGACCGAGATGAAAAAGAAGCTCTTCAAAATTACAACAGAATCCAGCTCCCAAACCCATCATCCCAGGAGATCTTTCCTTGCGGTGGTTTCTCTGAGAGTTGGCCATCCTGAGGACAGGCCCAGGAAGGCAGAGGGTCTGTCCTCGGGCCATACACCTGCTCTCAGTCTGAAATGTTTACCTAATTTACCAAACTCCACTCAAACCATGAAAATGACCTGATGGTTTGTAGATAGCCAGGCCCACCAAGAGACATTTCCCCTGAGTTGTTCAAACTAATAAACACCCTTGCCTGCAGGGAAGCGATTTGGAGTGGAGAGGAAAGCTGGCGCCTTCTCTTTTAAAGGCAATAATGAAATCGACTTTGAGTAACTGAATTTGTGCACAAAATACACTAAACACTAGTGAAGCCTGTTTTGTTGAACTAATTCTGGCTCTGGAAATGTTCTATAGTTATTTACATTTTTTTGTTTGTTTGGATTCAAGCTTAGTTTGTTAATATGTATAATTTAGCACCTATTGCACTCATGTAAATATGGAGTAAGTATTGTAAACTATTTCATTGCTGGGGATTGTGGGTGTTATACATACATTTAGGACTGCAATTTTTTGGTATTTTTTGTATTGTAAAATAACAGCTAATTTAAGCAGGAACAAGAGAAATAAGGGAGGTCTGTGCATTTTAAACACAAATGTGAAGAACTTGTATATAAACAAAAGTAAATACTATACCACAAACTTCCTTCTGAAATAAAAGTAGATCTGGTAAAAATGTGTTTTTTGTCTGAGTGTTTAATTTTGATTTTGTTTTGTTTTACCTGTTTTTACAATTTGGTCATTAGAACCTTAAGCCGGGGGGAAATGTTTAAAATGTTTCCCAGATTTCAGACTGCCTCAGAGGAAGCACTTGGCAGTCGTGAAGGTGAAGGTGTAAAACCAGCATGGCGGGCACTCAGACACTGGAGGGTGGGGAGCCCCACACAACTTGTGAGAGGACTTCCTGACATTTCCACTACACCTGTGCGCCCTCAAAAAGACAGTGCTGGGGCAAGAGACTGGTGTGCGGAGCAGCTCTGCCAGGGCCGGGGGAAGGGCTGGGCACAGTGCAGTCCGTGCCAATGCCACGCCTTGTGTGCTGCCCTTGCTCTTCCAGCATCTCCTCATGGGCTCCTGAATGTCTCTCTAGGTTTTCCAAACTGCTAAATCTCAGGTATGTTGAGAGGTTTCGTCCTCATGGCCCCAGCATTGTCCTTGCTCTTGAGTTTTGGTTGAAGTTATATGTCCATTCACAAAGCCTTTTCTGCATGTCTAACCCCACCTTATGCTGCTCCTGCCCTCAGAATGGGGTCAGAACAGTAGTATATTTCACCCTGGTGTGGAGTGCAAAATGCCCGGAAGGACGAGATAGGCGTGATGGGAATTGAGAATGCTGGAGGAAGGGAGGGTGGGCCAGGCCCAAGGGGGCTGGAGCGGGGCCTGAAGGAGGCCTGCCCACCAAGTGTGGCCCTGGGCCCCAGAGGGAAACTGTTGTACTGGTGGCTGCTGCCAGGTTGGGGAGGACCGCGAAACTTCTGGAGAGGGCTGTGGG